AAGTGAAAAATGAGAATCTGCAGAATGGCATCTCAACACTTCATGCCTGGATTAGGCTTTTTGAGTGTTTACTACATATTGCATACAAGATTCCAATTCAGAAATGGCAAGCAAGAGGTGTAGATGATAAAGCTATAGTTGCCACCAGAAAGAAGAAAATACAAGTTGCATTCCAAAATGAGATGGGTCTTGTTGTAGACCAGCCGTGCTCTGGGGGTGCTGGTACCTCAAATGATGGGAACACTGCACGTCGTGTGTTTCAGCAGGCTGAAAAGTCTGCTGAAATAATGGGTGTTAGTCCTGTTCTTATCAGAAGACTACATTCAATATTATCAGTGATGTCTTCTGGATTTGATATTGAACCTAACAAATTTAAAAAATATTGTTTTGAGACTGCAGAGTTGTATACACAGTTATATATATGGTATCCTATGTCACAGACTTTACATAAAGTTCTGATTCATGGACATCTAGTGATAGAATTTTTTAGCTTGCCTCTTGGCATGATGTCTGAGGAAGCACAAGAAGCCTCAAATAAGTACTTTAAAAAATACAGGGAGTGCTTCTCTAGAAAATGTGACAGAAAAAAAACCAATTTGGACGTGTTTCATCGCCTTTTATGCCATTCAGATCCTTTTATTGCTCAATCCCGTAAAACAAACAGTACAAGAAAAGCTATTCTGCCTGCCGATGCAATTGCTCTGTTGAAAGAGCCCAGCATCATTTGCTCTTTGTGAGTTTTTGATGATATCTTAGAAATAAATGTTTTTGCCAATGAATGTACGTGTTTAGCAATAAATGTTTAATTATATATAAGATTTTTTTTTTCAATATAAATAAAAACAACATCTTAATATATTAATATAGTTTTTAATCATAGTTTTATTTGTTTTAATTTATTATGAGGTTTTGGCTAGAAATTAACTATTTTAACCCATTATAGTTTTTTATTATTGTGCATAGTAATAATAAAGGTTCTACCATCTAGTGTTGCTAGATTATTGCAAGAATCTAGAATAGTATACTTTTTATACTATTCTAGATTCAAAAAAAACTTTAAATAATATTTTTGTTTCTAATTTTATTGCCGAATTAAGGGAGGGGGGCTATGGCCCCGGGGCCTTAAATTTTAGGGGCCCCGTAACATTCAAGAAGACCTTCCCCTTACAAATCGTGCTATATAAATTTGGCTAATAAAGTACTGCAGAAAAAAATAGCCCCGGGTCCCGAATGTTCTTAATCCGCCTCTGGCTAGTTTACGGAATTTTTTTTATAGGCTAAAAAATTGGAATTTTTCAAAATTATGCAATAAAAATCCAAGTTTTTATAAAACTAAAATTTTTTTTTGCATAATTTGTTTTTCAATATAATACACCGTTTGTAATAAAAAAAAAAAAAATTAAAATATATTTTAGAGGTTTTGGCTGAAAATTGGCACCTCTGACCCACTGTGCGTTGGTCCAACGTGTTGTGCTGCTTGAGTTATCGCTTAACCATCCATATGATACTAAATTTAAACAAGATTTCTGAATAAAACTAGAAAAAACTTTCCGAGTCTTGTCTAAATTAAAAAAAAAAAAAGATTTAAGATGCGAGCACCAGTTACCAGTTAAATTTAAGATTTAAGCACCAGTTACCAGCTGAGAAAAGATGGATGAAGTGAATAAAGCAGAATATAGTAAAAAAATCATTACAGAAAAATTTTTTTATTCTATTTAAATAAACAGAAAAAATCAGAATGGTGTGATGAGATGTAATAATAGAGGATAAAAAAAAAAAAACATGTTTGAAAAGGTTTTTTTTCTGATTTTTGATTCGCTATACCGCGAAAAACATGCTTCAAGGGTATCTAAGGAAAATGCAAAAAAAAATAATACCAATATTTTACATCTGGAGCTAGCGCATCGTACTTGAATATTTGAATAAATACTCGCTTTTTATCATTTTTGTTACAAAGTGCATTTTCGTTACAAGGCACTTTAGAATATTCCCAAAATGCGCTGCAAAACAGATGTTTTTCTTGCCACAACAATTTCTTTTGATATAATTTTGTTTTGAGTATTTGATAATATTAACCAATCTGTGATGGCTGCTTTTAAAAAATTACTTGTAGCGAATTTAAGTGCCCGATTTTTGGTCATCCAATAGAATTATCTGCGAATAAACTTATGAAGAAATTCTCAAGTGTTGTTTTAATGAAAATAAAATTAGAAGAGCAATAGTGGCTAAACGTTCACAACTTCAAATGCAGAGCAAGGAGAAATATAACCCACTGAAAGTCCATTGTGAAATTCCAAAAATTGACCGCAAAATTTAAGGCAAAGATCAGCAGTTCTTGTTGGATATAAGTTATGCTATTAAATCAGGCAGTTGTTCAGAAGATTTATCTGTTCGTGAACCTGGAGCAATTTTACACTCAAGGTGGTTAACAATTGCAAACAGAGTTTTACGATTATATTTAAACCTTAAAACCCCAACAGAGGAGCACAAAATCTTAGTTTCTTTTCTTTTAAAATCTTATGTCTCTGGATCGTTTTATATATATAAAAAAAAAAAAAAAAACTTCATAAACGGAGCAGAACATGTATTTGAAATGATAAATCCGTCAAGATTCCTGCCCAATTATTTGCTAAAAGTAATAGACCCAGTAATTGAGAAAAACGCTTTTTTTGCACATTCAGAAAACTTACTTTTAAACAAAACACTTTTTTAGACAAAAGGGTTCATATTACAGAGTTGGGTTTTATAAGAATTATAAAGGCAAAAAGCCTAGCTTCTCAAAGAAAGTTTATCAGGAGTTTTTAACCACCCAAAATTAATTTTTTTGCTACCGACTATACAGAGATGATTGACTGGAACACTACCACACTTTTGCTGCCACCTTTGCTGTGAAGAGTCTCAGATAAAGATATTTGATCAAAGATCAAATCAAGTGAAACAGCGGCTGATTGGAACTTTGAAATGTTTCCGTGACACACCCAAGCATTAGAACGATGCGTAAGGCTTGTAACAGAGGCTTCACAAAAAGTAGCTGGCTTCAATTCCAGAGATTGCATTATAAGAACTACATATAACTCCAGATCCTCAATGCCTAATTTTTCAAGCAAATTGTATATTAAACTACCAACTTTTTCACAAAAATTTTATTCAAAAATATTTTTTTTTAATTCAAAAAAAAATTTCTTATTTATTACTCCAATACTTTTTCTTACTTGAATTATCATTACATACAGTGGCGTAGCTAGGGTTTCTAGTGCCCAGGGCAACGCTGAAAATTGGCGCCTCTCTCCTGAAACAGACATGCGAACAGAGGTCCTGCTAGGAAGAGGGGCGGCTTAAGAGCCCCTCTCCTATCCAGCTAGGAGTATGGAGTAGCGCTGTAAGTTCCCACAGCAAGGTCTGGGGTGGAGCTCACATCTGACAACGGTTTTGCAACATATTATACACCTAAAATTATGCTAAAGTAATTTTTTCAGTAATATTTGGACTGACTTGCTTTAACAAATACAAGCCAAAACCCTTTTTTGGTGCCCCTACCCCAGAAAGACTGTCTCGCAAGCCCCACCCTTATTACGCCTCTGTCTAGATATTTGTTAAAGAATTTATTCAATTTCATTTCATTTGTAAAAAAATTACAAAAAGGGAAAATTTTTTTGAATATTCAAGCGCGATGCGCTAGCTCCAGACGTATTTTTTTTTTTTTTTTTTTTACATTATCCTTAGGTACCCTAAAGAAAAGTTTTTTACGGTATAGCGAGTCAAAAATTAGAAAAAAAAGTTTTTCGGCCAACCCTAGTAAACAGGAATTGAATTAAAAGAAATACCCAAAAGTAAATAAATATGATAATAGTTATATAAAAGTAGATAGTTACGGTGTATAGTTAATAGGCAAAAGTTATTGCAAATTTTAAATTAAATTTTGAATTTATTTTAAAGGTAAACGAGTCAAGGGTCTTTTTTCCAGAGTTATAATCTCTTGATTCTATTTATAAGTTCCAAGGTTATTTTGAGGCCCCCAGCTAGCACACCACGGTGGCTAGCTGGGGCTAGCCATCGTGGTGTGCTAGCTGGTCTTGCTTGTCTTAACATAAAAGTAATACCATTAAAATTTCTACAGTAACTAAAAAAAACAAAATATTGCGCTAACTGGTACACTATATTATTCAAAAACCTTTTTGTTTATGTCTTGCTTGTCTTAACATAAAAGTAATACCATTAAAATTTCTACAGTAACTAAAAACAAATAATTGAAAAATGAACATCTAGGATTGCAGTATTATTTATTCCTAAACACATATCAAAATTATTACCATAGTAACAAAAATTTATATAAATCATATATAACTTAAGTTATATAAAACTAATTAAAAACTTTTAAATAAAATATGTATTAAATAACACAACAGAGTAAATTGTAAAAAAATAATTCACGCCCATGGATTAGTATTCATTATTTTAAATTATTTATTCATTCATTCCTATTCATTCGTCATACTTAACACATCTAAATTAAGATAACAACAAAAAATCAACATAAATCTATATTTAATAATAATTTAATAAAGCAAAATTCTTTATGAAGTATTGCTTTACAAAATACTTCATGATATTATTATAGTTTTGACTTATTTTTATTGATCGATCTAATTTTATTTCTTATTTTACTTCACTTTTATTTCAATATAGTTGTATAAAATGTCCGTTTTGCTTTTAGAAATTTTTTCCTTCAAATAAGCAAACGTCTAATATATACATACATACATAAATACATGCATATATTTGTGTATATATATATATATATATATATATATATATATATATATATATATATATATATATATATATATATATATATATATATATATATATATATATATATATATATATATATATATATATATATATATATATATATAAATATATATATATAGTATCTTCATAAAAATTGTTGACTGTTAATAGTTCTAAAATAAATTTCTATTATATGCATTATAGTAATTTGTAGCAAGTTAGTTTCATTATTTTAGTAAATTTATTATTCAATATAAAATTATCTCTTAACTTCGGAAAACATATGAAAAATGGAGTCAAAAATGTCTTATGATAGTGGAACTGAAGAGGAGTTTGAGCTTCCTGTTGTAGCTTCAGATGGCGAGGTAATTATTAAAAACCAATATTATACTGTACTTTATGTATTATATACATGCTTATTCTATTCTTGAGGAAAACCAAAACTTTTTTAGTCCATAAATAAAGCTTTAAGATATGAAATACTAGAGTATCTAAAATTAATATGCAAAAAAAGGTTATTCAATAATTTTTTATTTTTGTAAATTATATTTGTTTTTTCGTTTTAACAAACAAAATCAACAAAAAGAAAACTGTAATGTAAAAACTTTTATGGATTTAGCAAACAACATGCAAACAACATATAAACAATATGCTGATATATATTAAAAGTATTAATTTCAAGAAAATTTGCTGTTTGTTGATGACTGATAATGTTACAGTGGCTTGGCATAAGCAAAACAATCATTTGAATCTAAACCTTTTCTTTTCTTCCAATTGTTCCTACATTTTAAATTTAATGTTTTCACAAGTTTCTTTTCCTAATGCATAGTAGGGCAGGTCGAATTACAACTTTTTTTGGATTTAAGTGTCTGGCATTATGGAGATATTTTCTAAACAGTCCAAAAACACATCCTGGTAAATTTTATGAAATTAAAATAGTTACTTCATGAGCGATTTTAGCTTTGAAGTGGGGTCCTAAGGCTTTCTGCGTAACATTACTGCAGCGCTGTATTGTAAATTCAGGACCCAACTAGTTTACATATAAAAAAAATATAAAAAGCAAAAAGACTGAAAGTTACCTAGAATTAAAGAAAAACAAAATAAAGTACTCTAAATCAAAAAAAAAATTTTTTGTCTATGTTAGATATTAATACTTTAACAAATTGCTTTTGTAAATTCTGGTCCGGATTTTATAAAAAAAACGCTAATTTCAAGTGTAGAAAATTAGTTCAGGGATCAGCAACAAGTAAATCGCGAGTCTCATGCTACTCAGTTATTTATATTCCATGGCTCTCCAGTCTGTCCAAATTACATAATATTTTGATTTAAAACTATATTTCAAACATACTTAAACTGTAATCCTGCGGCTCTTTTTTTAAAATTATTTAAGGAAGATATATTTTAGGAAAAACATCACTACATAAAATAAGTTGCGGACGCCTGGGTTATATAATCGAATATTTGTAAAATAGAAAACTATCTAATTATTTCAGATAAGTTAATTTACCCAATAAGTTAAATTCTAATAATGATTATTGAAAACCTTTGGAATAACTGTCAAAAGATGAAATTATATAAAAGATTTCATAAAAAAAAATGCTTTTAAAAAAGATCTTTTTATTTATTTAGAAATTATTTTAACAATGTTCAACCACACGAGGAAATGACTAACTCGAAAATTATTATACATTTTTGTTAAATTTTATTTTTACATATGCAAGTAGCAATAAAAGTAGCATGTCTCACCATAATAACATTTAGACATAAAACTCTTTCTATGCTTTCTTCTTAGAATTTTTGCTAAAATATGCTTATGACGTGCCTCCTTTCCAAAAACAGTATGAGAAGCCATGGAAACAAGTTGTACGGATCTCTCAACACTCTGTGAGTGTAAAGGAAGATCTGGGAGGTCAATTTTTTCTCCAGACAACAACTTTTCTGCAATCTCTTCATAGTAAAATCTTGAGTTGTTGCTGGTTCAACTATGTCTTCATCAAAAATATTTATGAGCTCATACCATATATGAGCATCAATGTTAACTTCTGGAATTTTATTGATTCTGCTTATAGCTTGGCCATCTTTTTTACAATTTTTAATATCAAGTAATGTCTGCATTGCTATTGATTTTATATATATTTCTTCTAACTTTAACATTGAGAACAAAATATTCTCAGGAAGTAAGCAAAAGGAATTGAACCTTAAGTTTGCTAAATAAATATCTTGCACCTCTTTTCCTTGGAGCTTGATTTGGTTAATCATAAAATGTATAATTGATGGAGCTTCGTGTAGCTTATTGCTCTTTTTACGGAGGAACCATGTAGGAACATAAACTTGGACAACATAAGTTACCAAAATAATTAGTTCAGAATCAGGAACTACTACTCGGACATATAAAGACATCAACCGGATTTCCAATGTTAACCAACGAGAATGATTGAGGGGACTAATTTTCCAACTTGAATATTTAACACTCATATTTCCAGTGGCAATTCCAATGCAATATTCATATAAAAACCTTTGGTCACTACTTAAATCGTCTAAAATTTCTTTTTCTAAAATAATAATTGGAGACTTAATAAGACCAAAATTAACAACTAAATTAAGCTCATTATTGATATTTGCCATTTTACCTATTGGTCCAGCAAAATGGTTTGGTGAATTTGTTGCTCCATCAATTTTTTTAAACAAAGATCTCAAAGGAAGCTCATTTTGATGAAGATTGCAGCCTATAGTCTGAAGTTTTCTTCCAAGTTTTTTCTCTAACTTTACAACCATTCTTGCTTTATGACCTGTTTTTGTTAAAGTATTGTCTACCAAAACTGCTTTTAGAGTGTTTAAAGAATCATATTCTTTAAGAACTTCATATAGACACTGAGCTTGCTTTTTTCCTGTTGCCTCCAACAAGAGAAAAAACTTTGTGAGTAAGATACTCCCCACTGTAAAGGTTAGGGAGAAGTTCTTTAGTCACAGCCATGTGATGTTCTTTCTCTGTTGATCTCTTTAACACAACCTCACCATCTTCTTCTTTTATTTCTCTTATAACTAAAGTTTCATTATTAATTTTACCGTCAACACCAAGGCAAATAAACTCTCTGTTAATTTCAACAAATTTTAAGTCTGACAATACTTTAACTGACTTTTTTTATCTGCCTATTTTGAATTTGTCTAAAACTAAAGTTGATATTATTGCTGGATCATTAAACAGTTTTGATAGATCGAGCAAAAGAGCATTTCCTAATGCAGCTCCAATCGAACTTCCTATATCGTTCCTGATCAATTCAATAGCAAACTTTGGAAACTTCCAAAGATTGTAAATTCCCGATGGATTTCTTTCAGGCTCCCATATCTAAAAAAAAGTTATGAAATTCATTAACAAAAAAATTTAATATAAAAAAGTGATATGTTAAAAAAAAAAGTAAATTTTAAAAAATATAAAATAGTGAACCAAATTTCAATTTATTATTTAATTACCTCACTAAATTTTTCTTCTTGTAATGATTCTTCCACATTTTTATATTCAGTTTTATGTTTCTTTAAAGATTCTTTTCTAGACCATTCACGTTCTACTGAGCCAAGTTGAAATGATCCCTTTGGACCTGACTTTTCTCTCTAATCTTTTAAATATAACCTTTCTTTTACAGGAATCTAAATATTATTTGATAATATTGAACAACTGCATATGAAATTTATAGTATTAAACTTTATCATACTAGTAATATACTTATGTTAATTTTATTTAAAAATATTTTTATTTTATTTATCTAATATTAAAAGATAAGATAGCACTTTTTTATCTGGACCTCATGTGCATAAAATATGAGTATCAGTACAATTATCTTGACTACATTTTAATTTTTTATCATCACAAAGAACAACTTTAAGATCACATGTGCAGGAACTGATATCAAAAAGCCTATCCAATTTTTTAGAAGTGTTTTTTTCTGTTAATACTTTGCATTTACTTCGGTTAATTAACCTAGATATGTTTAGAAGTACTCCAACTTTTTTTTCTACATAATAAGTGGACATTAATGGTAGTCGAGTGTTAACTTTTTTCCATAGCATGATTATTTTTTCAGCTATAAGTTTTACAATTACAAATTTTCTTTTTCCCACACAGTTATGGGATTTGTTTACTTTGCGTAAGCGCGGCAATCTTTAATTTATATGAAAATGTTAGTGGTAAAGATGGCGTAGCAAAAAAAATTTTAATTAAATATATCAATATTTAAAATCATTTTAGCTCAACTTAAACTTCATTAAAAAATAATATTTTACAAAGCACATTTTTTTTCACATAATAATCAAATCTCTTTATTACCAAACCTCTGATTCCAAAATCGACCTGCCCTAATGCATAGCCGTTCAAAAATTTATCTTTATTTTTAACTGAAACTATGTGTGGTTCTCACGTATAGAAAAATACAGCTTTATAGGGAAAGAACGTTTTTTCGTCATTTATTCTGGTACCACGTTATACCTGTTGTTTTACGTAAGAGTCGTATTGTAAAACGAGTTTAATTTATTATAATTAATATATTATATACAAATATGCAATAAACACAAGAAAGATATTGTAGATCACAGCTAGTAGTAGAACAGTTGCTCGAGTCCATTGATGTTTGATAGGTTACTCCAAGAGAGCGATACTTCGATAAGCACGCTATTTATATACATATTCCCAAGGGGGACATTAATTGTTTTAGTATAATCGGCAAATCCAAATGATTTACGCTTACGATAACTTGATTAGCGCAACAATACCAACATACATTTTTTTTATGGTCTTTGCCGCTTCTTTCTGACATATTTTTTGATTTTGAAATGATAAAATTTAAAAAACCTATTTTCTAATGTTCTATAGAACACAATGCGACGTCGCTAACGACCAAAAAACAACGAGTAAGTTTTTACCTACTCTTTCTTCAATTTCACCTACTCTTGGTGAAATTTCACGCAATATTACCAAGAGTAGGTGAAATTGCGTGAAATTCATAAGTAGTCGAGATAAAAAGATAGCGTTATAAAAGCGGACAAAGGGGAGAGTGTGTATGAAAGAGCCAGTTTTAAAAAGGAATAAAAAAAAGTCAGTTGGGATTAATTTTTTTTTTTAAATAGTTACTTTATTGGGTAATATTATAGAATTAAAATAAATTGGATAAAAATGCTAAAAACCTGTCATAAACCTATTTAAAAAAAAGATAGAAAACGGCTCTTTCATAACATTGTGTCAATGAAAGAGCCACCACTGTGCCATGAATAGGCCGTAACTTTTTTTTGAACACTATCAAGTCTTTTTTAAATATTGAACTGTTAAATAGACTTCTAAAAATCAGATTGTACTTAAAGTTTTATAGCTCTATGA